TTTTCTTTCCCCCCCCCCCGCCGAGGGGGGGGGGGAGGGGGGGAAGGGGCCCCTCCTTTTCTAACCCGCCAACCTTTTGTGCTTTCGCGGACTTTTTTTTTTTTTTTTAACCCAAACGGTGTTGTTTCTGGTGGTGTTGGGGGGGGGGTCCATCCAGCACCTCGGGGGGGAACTCCCGCCCCCCCCCCTCGCTCGCGATGTAAGAATATGCCCCTTGTTCGAGGCGTTATCCCTAATCTATCCGCGTTACAGCTGCTGTGAGAACCTGGCATTATCCCCATCTGCGTACACCCCGAGTGCTGTGAGCACTGATTTGAAGTGAAGACAAGAAATATTACATATGCGCACCGACCCTCGCGGCAGTACGAGTATAGATGCGATGATGCATATAGTCTGGCCTGTTCGAGGCGTCATCCCCGCCTATCCGTATCCCGACCCTCGCAGCAATACCCGATTGCAACTGTACACGCAACTTTTTTTTCGTTCTATTTATTGCTTGTGTTGAGCTTATTGTTGAGCATGCGTCGGGATGAAACTTGAGAATATTCGATTCCACTTGGAGGAGAAAAAACGTCGCGCCGTTGGGCCTCAGGTTGTCGTCAACAGGGAGCAAGGAAGAAGTTTGCGGTGGCACAGAACTGCTCGAACGTGGCAGCCTCTCTCTGTCTTCGTCTCTCCCTGTCTGTCTATCTGTCTGTCTGTCTGTCTCTGTCTGTCTCTATTTATTTTTCCTCTCTCCCTCATTCTATCCCTCTCTCTCTGCCCCTCTGTCTCTGTATCTCTCTCACTCTGCCTCTCTTGCCCTCTTTATCTCTCTCCCTCTCCCTGCCTCTCTCGCAGAGTGGCCAGCGTTTGAACGAGTTCCGGCGGTCCTGGTTCTCGCCTATCCTAAACCAGTTCACCGCCGTCAACCCCTTCGCCTCCACGATGAAGGTTAGCTCCATTGCTCTCTGCGGAAAACATCAAATCAACAATATCTTGCTCATGAAAAATTGTGGTACAAGCCAGCCCGATCTCTCAGACCCGTGGACAACTGCTGTTGCAAAGAGAAAGTCGTATTTAGTATCCTGTCTTGCTCCGTGACCATTTTTCCAAAACAAACATTAGCTACTGACAGCGAGCAATCAGGCAGAGAAACCAATCAGTCGTCAGAGACATCAGCCACCACACCCCCCGGACCGATTTTCGAGCATCGATTACCCCGCAACATGCCGCCATCCGCGGCCAATCAACCGTGAAGCGAAACACGATGCACAGCAGCAGCAGCAGCAGCTTGAGAATCACTTGACCCACGCACGACGTCCCAATGCATCGATTACTTTTGTTTAGTGGGCGTCGCGCGTTAGAACTGCGTCGTGCGCGCCTGTTGCTCGCTGTTGCAAGTGTCCGCCCGTTGCCAATCTTTGCGCGCGAAAAAGAGTCTTCGCCTGTCCTTGCTGTTGCCTTGAAGGCGTGCTCCCTTCTCTGGGCTTCACATTCCGTCCGGTATAATGGTATAATGCCTACCTCTCGGCATGCCCATCCACACCAGCCGTGTGTAGTGCAACCACAGCCGTGCTTTCCGATTGCATCGTACGGAAACATGGGAGAAGTAGTAGCACTGCACCTCGAAAAAAAAAAAATGCTTCACGCCGGTGTGTCCCCGACTTTTTAACATTTCATTCTGGTGAAACCCTGACGGATTGATCGTGTTGGCGGTTCTTTGCTCGTGCTTTCTGTGCTTTTTTTTTCGTGTGTGTTTTGTCTACTTAAGGGCGGCATCCTGTGCGACGAGATGGGCCTCGGCAAGACGGCCGCCACGCTGTGCCTACACCTCATACACCCCCCCAAGACTCCAGCCCCGGGGGTCCCGCTAGACGAGAAGGAATGGGGTCCCATCCTCGGGAAGCAGGTATACCTACATATATTCCGGATTTCTTTTCACGTCTACATAAATTTTTTTTTCGATATCCACCCGACGTCCGTCTGACGTTGTTCTTGCTGTGTTTTTTTTCTTTCTTTTTTTGCCGACATCCACCCACCCGATGTTCGTCTGTCTTGATTCGTGTAGCGAGTTAGGATTTGGGTCTCGGATTCATGTATGGTTGCAGAATGTCCGTTTTACGAAAAAGGACAGATAAATGTACATGACTGACCTGGGAAAAACAGATATGATAGCCAGCAGAAGGCGGTAGCTATTCTGCGGTAGATGTGTTCGATAGGATAGGTATAACGTTTTTGAGCCTTTGGCAAAGAAGGCTAGGAACGCTTGGCCATCGGTGTTCGGTCCAATGCTCCGTCCTCTCGAGGACGCGTGGTCAATCAAAGTGGCATGATAAACAGAGTACGCCCCCCCTCCCCCCCTCATGCGATGTTTTCAGGCCTCCCCGCTCACCGACCGCAAGTCTGTAACCGGAGAGCCCGAAGAGCCTGGGAAGTGGGTGTCGAAGGGCACGCTGGTGGTGTGCAAGGTGTCGCTCGTCGGACAGTGGGTAGAGGTGCGTCACTGCCGTCTGTTGTTGTTGCTGCTGCTGCTGATATTCTTGTTGGTTGCTGTTTGATGGAAAGGGAAAGGAAGGAAGCCAAAAGAAACGAAACGAAATGTGCACACAGGGAAGCGGGGTTGCCTTCTCAAGGCTCTACCGGTATGCGCAGCAGCACGGTTACGTTGCTGCTCGTCGGCGGCGCGGAAGGGGAGGGGGGGAGAGCGCACCGCTGCTACCGTAGATACCGTAGATACCGTAGATACGACAAAGGGGTGAAAATGTGTGCCGTTTTTCATCCAGTCAGTGTGTCGCCAACCTATTTTGTGCGACCCCAGGAGGCCAAGCGTCATGTGAACACCCCCTCTTTCTGCACGTCGAGGATGAGACACATCCCGGTTGTCGCCCACGTTCATGGAGACACGACCAGTCCCGTTCCCCTATGTATCCCAACCCCCAGTGCATGCATTTGCCGCTGCTGCTGGTTGATGATGGATGAACAATGATCGTCTTCACGGCAGCACCAGGACAAGTATCCGTTTTTCATCCAACCGGTATTGCGCCGCATTTTGTTTGTGCGACAACCAGGAGGCCAAGCGTCTGTGCGGCGGCGCACTGTCGATCTACCCTTACCACGGCGGCAACCGAAGGAAGGACCCGGCCTTCCTGGCGAAGTTCGACATCGTGGTCACCACCTACGGTGTGGTTCAGGTGTGTTGGGGGGTCCCGTAGCTGTGACTAGGTGTTTGGTTTGGAAGCTGTGGAGGACTTGCGGCCGAAGTTGTTTCCTTGTATGTGCGAGGTACGGGAGGGGGGGGCAGAGAGAACCGTTTGTGTGGTAGGTTTGGTCTGGGAGCTGGGGAAGGCCGACGTCGTATTTTTTGTGCTTGTGTAAGGGAGGAATGCACCTGGGTGGGGAGAAGAAGGGATGGACGAAGAGACAGGAGACGGCAGTGGAGGCTGGTCTGAGGAGGGGCGTGAGCCGGGTGCGTTCTTGACGGGTTTGGTTTCTTACGAGAGATGTGGAACGTGTCTTGTTCCGCCAAGAGAAGAATCAGCCCACGACTTGCGGGATCACTTTTACGTTGGGTGTACTGTATGCATAGTACGTTAACTTCGTTTCAAACGTTTACTGTATGGCGACTTGTCCATGACTGTTTGTGTTGGTCGCTGTTACGGCTGTGGTCGTCGTTTTGATTTTCGAACCGCCTTCGCGCGATAAATAACTTCGTTAGGAAATAGGACAGGGAGGGGGGTACGCAGACCCTAATCCCTAACCCTATCCCTTTCCCAACTTCCCCGATTGTATCCTGTATCCAACATGTTAACATAATACGAAAAACCCTCGAAGGCTACTGCCGTGATTTTCTTTTTGGATGCTGTTTTTCTGCCCGAAAAGAATGCCGTGTGCTGGCTCGCTCTATCCAGCACCTCCTCTCGTGCCTCTTGTCCCCCAGGATATCACATTTATTTATTTTTTTGTCTCCGCTTTGAATCAGCACGGGCCTTCGCCCCCGAGAACTTGTGCTCGCACAAATGCACGCGATATCAGCTGTTTTTTTTTTTTCATGCTCGTGGCGTCCGTGTCAGTTGGACTACTGCTGCAGCACGGATGTTATGGTGTGCTTACAATAGCGGAAACTGAAACTTTTTTTGTTTCTTGTGAAGACAACAACATGAACAAGGAATTGTTTTTGTGTGAAGACAACAACAACAACAACAACAACAACGACTTCAACACTCACCACCACCCCCAACAACCCTCCTCTCCCGTTGTAACCTGTGTGTCGTTTCATCCACTGGTGCAGTACGACGCCTCGAGGAACTCCGGGTTCCCCCCTCTCCGACGGATCCGGTGGTGGCGTGTGGTGAGTCTTGCTTGACGAAGGCGGCCCCGCGTAACTCTGCGGCCGCGGTTAAACCCATAACCTTGGCAGCGTTTTCGTACGAAGTAAACATGTTGGATAAAGCATGCAAAGAGGGACGTTGGGTTAGGGAGCGGGTCTGTGTACCCCCTCCCTGTTCTCTTTCCTTATACTCTTAGTTTTTCGCGAAGGCGGTCCGTTAAACCGTACGCGTGCCGCAGGTGACGTAAGGTATCACCCCCCGCCCCCCCCCCCCCTCTCTGGATGGAGTAATAGTACTCGATTGCAATGTACTCCACGACGAAGAGGACGTGTGATAGGCATGAAATGGTACGTTTTGAGAAAGCTCTCGTGTGGGAGTGGTGTCATCGCGGCTGTTTTTGGGCACCCCGGTTCGTTTCTGCTGTGGAGTAATCGACCTTTGAAAAGTCAATCCAGAGGTGGGCGATATCTTGCATCATGTCACCTACGGTTTCAGGTGTGTGTCTTTTTCTCTGCGGCGCTGGATTGGCCGGTTGCTGTCGTAGGCTGAAGATCAAGGGCGGCGTGTGTAGTCGGTTCCCTCGTGCGTTGTGTCTGCGGTTGTTGGAAAATCGGTTTTATCCCTCGCCCCCGGTACGTACGTGACCCGTTCCTCGTCGTTTTTGTGGTCTTGAGGTTGTTGCCGCTCAACGCGGTTATTTTCATCTTGACCTGCTACGACTGAAGAACACTTTGATTTTTCATCTTGGCATGCGAATCGAAGGGATTCGGTCAGTTTTCGTGATGCCTCCCCCCTTCCTTCGGTTGTTGTTGTTGTTGTTGTTGTTGTTGTTGTTGTTGTTGTTGTTGTTGTTGCCGTTGTTGATGCTGGTGTCGGTGTTGACAAGTGCGTCCCCAAACCTGAAAAATAAAAAATACCCAATAAAAAACACATGCAACACCCCAAACCCAGTGTATCATGTATAGTAAATACAAGGCCCCCCTTCGGAGTGGGGTAAAGAGAGCACCGCGGCAAGGGGTGATGCAAGAGCATGCAAAAAGCAGACGGAGGGGGAAAAAGCATAGGGCGTTGTTGAACACAGGTAAACTTGGCGCAAAAGAAATGAGAAGAACACACTATTCTATGATCACTGGTTGAGGGCGTTTGCGGGGTGTGAAGGGGACAGGGTGGAGGTAGTGGCCTGAATGTGGGTTTATATATAAATATTCTTGTCGTTTCTGTTGTTGTCGCTGTTGTCGCCAGGTCCTTGACGAAAGTCACACTATCGCGACGGCCAAGCACGCCACAAACGAAGTGCGGGACATCATCTCCAACCGCCGGTGGTGCATGACCGGCACCCCCTACATCTCCAGGTTTTCCGACGCGAACGGACAGCTCTCGTTCGTGGGCGCGGGCAGTGCCTTCAGGGGAAGCGACTTGGGTGACAAGGGGTGAGTTTTTTTTTTGTACAATGCGATTTCGTGTGTTGAGAAAGTGCCTTGTATGTTGGTTCTCCGAGGTTCTAGATGTGAGGCTTTGCACACCCCGAAGTTCTGTCTTGAAAATGTGTATGTGTGTTTGTTCTGAAGGTTTTTAGATGTGAGGCTTTGCACCACTCGATGATCTGTGTCGAGAAGTGTGTTTGTTCTCAATTTTCTACACGATGCGAAGGGGTTCTTAACGGAGCTGCTCAAATACTTTAGATTTTTTGTTTTTCGGGGCTGTATGTATCAGTTTCTTGACTGCCAAGAGTAAACGGGCGCTAAAGGTATTCCTTGCCCGTTTTTTTTTTTTTTTCTCTTCCTTCCCCGGGTAGCCCCAACCGCGAGACGCAGGTGGAGACGGTGGCGTTCCTGAGGAGGGTGCTCCTCCGACACTCACAGGGAATGAAGCTGGGGGGCAAGAGCATCCTGGGGTTGCCGAGCATCACTCACAAGGTACATACCAATGTCCTTCAGCTCTGTACGAACATGGCTGTAGTGTTTTTTGAGTACGCACATGGATACGAACATTCCTTGATTATTATTTTTTGGGGGTATTTTGCTTTTGCAGCGGTGCAACCACGCCAATGCTCCGGGGCCTCTCTGTGGTGGTCGGCACGGTTGTGTATGGTGTTGTTGCTGCATTCATATTCCCTGAATGATGACGGGAGGAGACCGAGCAATACAGGCGAATTTTGAACGGCGGGACCGGTTTATCCATGAAACGCTGGATGAGCTTCTTCTGTTCAGCTTTGATCGTGCGACAAGATCGTTTCGAAGATGCTATTTACGTATATCCACGCCGTGTGTTGCTTTTGTTTGCACGCGAAGTGCCGCCCTGGGCTACCCCGCCCCCCCCTTCCCCCGACCAAACCCAATCCAATCCGCCACAATCTGAGTATTCCGTTGAGTCTTGGTGGGATGCAGCCCTCTGACCAACGTTGAACCAGGCGCTTGTCTTGGAATGATCCGTGGTGAAGCGTTACACAGCAGCCAGCACATGCCTCCTCCTGTGGAGCTTTACAATCTATCGCATACCTCTGCGTTCGCCGTACGATACGGGTGCACAGCAGCACACAGCACAGCTGTGTCGTAACTCGCGAACACCGTGCTGACTGTTGATCTACATCTACCTAATAGGTGGAGGCGCTCGCCCTGCCGACCAAGGAACGCAAGGCCTACGTGGACTTCGAGAAGGGCCTCCAGAACGACTACATCAAGGTCCGACACCGTCTCCGCACCCAGAAGGGCTCCCACACCATGGAAGTACTCACCCTGCTCAGCAAGTTCCGACAGGTGTGTCTTCTTTTGGACCGGCTGCCCTGATTTTATTTTGACGAGAAAGGACGTCCAAGTGAGAGAGGCCAAGACACAAGGGCGATGTTTCGTTGCCGGTGGTAGATTTGGTAGATTTGGCAGATTTGCCAGCTTCGCGCGCCTGGCCGCCGCCGCGTCCTCGCAAACACCTGTGTCGGGGTTGCTGTTGTGTACGAAGTGCCACACAACTTTCATTTGTCCAGTTGATTCTCAAACGAAATGGACTCGAGTACTGTAAGGGTGTGTGTGCATTTTGCTTTTTTTGTGTTTGTCTTGTTGTTTGGAAAAGCTGGATGCATAGTTACAGCGAAGAAACTACGCCCTGCTGTTGAAATATTTTGGCTGCAGCGACAACAACAGATAATGTTGTAGTGAAGTGACACCAATACAACCGACTGGATACCGGCGATACTGCAGGCTTGCTCGGGAGGCCAGCTCCTGGTGGGAGACTCGGCGACGGTGGGCGGCGACGGGGATGGTTCTACCCCTGCCTCGGTGGACGCGTTCTGCCCCATCTGCAACGATATCATCGAGTCCCCGGTCCGGACTAAGTGCGGGCACACCTTCTGCCAGGTACTGCTGCTGCTGCTGCTGCTGCTGTTGTTGCTGGGTGTGATGGTTGTTCTTGGTGGTGGTGCTGCTGCTGCAGTTGGTGTGTGTCATGGTTGTGTTGGTTTCGTCGGAGGGTGTGTTGTAGATGGGAGGGGGGGGTTGACAGCTTGGCACCAACCGGGGCAGGGTTCATCGAGGCACAGAAAGACACAGCAGTACAAGGTGAGGACATGCGCATACATCTGGTTCATGCCACAAGCGACGACACGCTCGCAGACAACGGGAGTATTCGATGACTGCCAGCCACCGATTACCGACCAGCACACCCGCCTCGGCTACAAAGCTGTTGGCGGCACAAGTCTGGCGGTCGTACAATACCGATGAGTGCAAACAGCGACACCCACACCGCCTCCTCACGAGGTCCCGGTTCATGGCATTTGGAAGTGTTTTGTGCTGTCAACCGGCCTGAGACTGACGCATTTTCGTTGGTCAACCGGCTAGCGCGGTCGATACTGCAATTGTTAATTTACCCCCCCCCCCAGCGCCCCCCCACTCGGTGTTTGCCATCGGGATTGGGTTTTCGTCGCTTGGCAACGACGTTGTAAAACAAGCCAATTCACTTCGTGAACTCGACAACCAGGTTACCGGTTTTTTTTTTTTACCTCGGTTTTTTTTTTGGCGGTAACCATAATGGTGGTCGAGTAGATCATGTTGTGCGGGGTCGAGAACCCTCACTCCGCGCAACGGGGGATGATCGCACCACGTTGTGTTAAAATGGTCAAGCTTCCTCGAGGCAGTTACACAGTGCTTACAACTGTCTCTGGAAGTGAAAGCACCAGAAAATAAATTAAGTCATACGTAGCTGTCATCCGTACGCAAGGAAGTAAGCACAAGATGCCGAACACCCTCAGCAGGATGCAGCTCACCCTTCATGCGACTCGCCAAATACCTCACGGCGCTTCGCGCTTGGTGATGTGAGAGCCTGGTCCGGTGAGAACCCGGC